CATAATGTTCAAGTTGTAATCAGTAGGCTCAAGGCGTTCTTGTTGGCAACAATCTTATCGACTGCAGTCACAACATCATATCTCTCCTTTAGTCAGGCCAGGTTCCTGAGGAATCAGATCACAAATTCTACGTATGCTTCACCCCGTCCTGTCGAGGGGGCAAGAAGTAGTAACACAGGTGTACGGTTATTTGAAGATTTAGTGTTGAAAACATAATCTTTAGAACTCGTCTCTCAGTTTCAGCTGAGTGACTGCTTCAGTTTCTTCTCTTACCTGTTCCATAAAAAACGTTATTAAACAGTTCCTAAGCTAAAACAGTCAACCGGTTGTCTATAGTTTTATTCGCTTAGGAGATACGCATATTGCAATTTGCAGATGTTTTTGATATTTGATGGCCATTTATCACATCTGAAAGTCATGGCTTGTGTGGGAAGTTTCACCGGAAATCCGGAAACCGTTCTACATTAACAATATCTTTGACGTATTTCATCAACACCATCTCTATTATTATCTAGTACATTATTAAATGACCAATATGTGCAGGTTCACACAAAATGTTATCCAGAACAGAACAGTTTATTCCCTTAAAACCACTAACGGAGGTACAAAGGAGAACACAAATAACATAGGCACACATATGTACATACCATAAATATGCAGCTAGATGGCAGGTGCTCCAGTCATAAAATACCTGTTATAATTTACTTTTCTTTACAGCTTTGAACATCTCTTGTATAAATTTGAAAGATTTTTCATTTCTTTAAACATTTTGGACAGACAGTAACTTTATGACACTTTAAAGGTTAGACCATTTATTTTTGTAAGTTGTAGGTGCTACATACATAGATCACCGTTCAGAAAAGTCTGAGATTCAAATAAATAATAGCAGGTCAAATCCATAATGAACAACATTTTTGGTATATATGAGAATAACCGGCGTGGAGCATAAGATATCTGTTTATCCAATGCATGAACATATACGTTTACATTAGCATGGGCTGGCGACTGTTATGGCCGGAAGCAGTGTTAGTGCCATCTTACACACTGTCGATCATGTTATTATCTGGCCATACAATTATGTTTTACATTATTTGAACTTTGACGACTTCCATTACTCTGTTCGTTGTCAACTACTGGGTGCGGTGTCTTCATATCTGTTATTAAAGTCCTCGTTCAACCGTGAACGTCAATTCTAATATGGTTATGATGGGTTTAATAATTCAGTCGTGAAGGCTAATCAAACTATCGGCATATCTGGCAAGGAACGCACTCAGTAACATTGTACATCAAGCCCACGTATACATTCTGTGACGGGAAATCATTCACAGCACCCTTACAGCATCCGCAGCAATTCCATGGTTGAGGCCAGCATCAGTGACAGAAGCACCTCCATGTTTGCAGCACTATACACGATATTAGAATCTCTGTAGTTCCACTGTTAGACGCGGCAATAACCTCCAGCATTACATCGGCATCACTGGCAACATCATTGCTGGCAACAGCTTCAGTGAAAGCATTAAACGTATGTGTATGCAGCATAGCCGGCAGCACTGACATCGACGGTGGCGATATTGTATAGATACCAATAGCCTTCATAGCGTTACAGATACAACTACCTTTATGGATAAAGCGTCACTGACAACATTCAGATCTGGGGTTGCAGCAACAGTGATATCCTTTGCTGTAAAATGATTTCGAGCAAAGACTACTGCAGCTTACAGTTAAATCAAGACAAAACCTTAAAATATAAATATGTGTTAACACCAGAATGTATGGTAACTTCCGATTTCAGAGATGAAGATCATTCTGGGACCTTTAAGGTTAAGTATAAGAACAGAGATTACACAGTTTGAACGTTAAAACACATACTCAGTCACAGCAGAGGCATGTTGACCTCACACATATTCAACGTGCACAAGCAGTTTTTCCACATGGGGAGATAACGACGACAGGAAGCTCATCCCGGGGGTAAATACTGTTCTTCAGGTGAGACTAATTGCTTGTAGTGTTAAGATTCTTCCTAGCATCGTAATGCAGTGACAGCAATATCAGTGGAATCTCTTATAAAGCTCACTGAAAACATGCACGTGGCATTTCACGTCAGAGATATCTCAAAGAGAAAGTTCGTAACGCCTACGTCATCAATAAACATCTTATCATTTCACCGGCATCTGCTTTATCGCCAAAAACTTTTTCTTGGATTTAAATGTCCGGAAATGTGCCCATTATTCCATGTAAGATATACTACAAGTTACTTTATCTTAACATGTTACCTATTTTTCAGACTGGAAAAACAGTGGGCTGTAAAGTGAATTATAGACACATATAACGAAGACATGCTGTGTTTTACGTGACTCGTTTGACGTCAGTATAAGAAACAACATGCTTTATCTCTCAACGGAGCCATATTCAGTAATATGGGAGAAAACGGGACTGTAACATTGCATGAGGAGAACACTGCGGGGACATCACGTTATAGCTCCACTTGCGGTACACTCAAGGCTGCTGTACATATGTGCAGAAACTATTGGTTGGTGAGATATGTGGGTGTAGCGACAATGGTTCCAGGGAATATGCAAGTGGACAAACTAAAGGGCCAGAATATATCAATCCTGCGTGTGCACAACCTAAGGCCCGGTGGATATGTAAGTGTAGATGTGTGGATCTTGGAGATATGTAGGTGGATATGTAAACGTGGATCTGTGGGTCTGGGAGATATGTAGGTGGATGTGTAAACGTGGATCTGTGGATCTGTGGGTCTGGGAGATATGTAGGTGGATATGTAAGCGTGGATCTGTGGATCTGGGAGATATGTAGGTGTCACAACTGTTGGTCCGGTGGCTATGTAAGCGTGGATCTGTTGGTCTGGGAGATATGTAGGTGGATATGTAAGTGTGGATCTGTGGGTCTGGGAGATATGTAGGTGTCACAACTGTTGGTCCGGTGGCTATGTAAGCGTGGATCTGTTGGTCTGGGAGATATGTAGGTGGATATGTAAGTGTGGATCTGTGAATCTGGGAGATATGTAGGTGTCACAACTGTTGGTCCGGTGGCTATGTAAGCGTGGATCTGTTGGTCTGGTTGGGTCTGGGAGATATGTAGGTGTCACAACTGGTCCGGTGGCTATGTAAGCGTGGATCTGTGGGTCTGGGAGATATGTAGGTGTGTAAGTGTGGAACTGGTGGTCCGGTGGCTATGTAAGCGTGGATCTGTTGGTCTGGGAGATATGTAGGTGGATATGTAAGTGTGGATCTGTGGGTCTGGGAGATATGTAGGTGTCACAACTGTTGGTCCGGTGGCTATGTAAGCGTGGATCTGTTGGTCTGGGAGATATGTAGGTGGATATGTAAGTGTGGATCTGTGGGTCTGGGAGATATGTAGGTGTCACAACTGTTGGTCCGGGTGGCTATGTAAGCGTGGATCTGTTGGTCTGGGAGATATGTAAGTGTGGATCTGTGGGTCTGGGAGATATGTAGGTGTCACAACTGTTGGTCCAGTGGCTATGTAAGCGTGGATCTGTTGGTCTGGGAGTCTCTGGGAGATATGGAGATGTAAGCGTGGATCTGTTGGTCTGGGAGATATGTAGGTGGATATGTAAAGTGTGGATCTGTGGGTCTGGGAGATATGTAGGTGTCACAACTGTTTAGTCCGGTGGCTATGTAAGGTGGATCTGTTGGTCTGGGAGATATGTAGGTGTCACAACTGTTGGTCTGGGGTGGCTATGTAAGCGTGGATCTGTTGGTCTGGGAGATATGTAGGTGGATATGTAAGTGTGGATCTGTGGGTCTGGGAGATATGTAGGTGTCACAACTGTTGGTCCGGTGGCTATGTAAGCGTGGATCTGTTGGTCTGGGAGATATGTAGGTGGATATGTAAGTGTGGATCTGTGGGTCTGGGAGATATGTAGGTGTCACAACTGTTGGTCCGGTGGCTATGTAAGCGTGGATCTGTTGGTCTGGGAGATATGTAGGTGGATATGTAAGTGTGGATCTGTGGGTCTGGGAGATATGTAGGTGTCACAACTGTTGGTCAGGTGGCTATTTAGGTGCCTGGGGTATATGCAAAAGTAAAGCCATGGTTCCGGGAGATATGCAACTGGAGAAACTATAGGTTTTGTAAATATGTAAGTGTACAATTGTGGGGATATTGAGAGTTGCAACTATGGTTCCCTTGGATACAAAAATGTACAAACCAAGGGAATGTATAAGTGGAGAAACTGTCAGTCACATCACTGTATGATGTTTTGTGACATAAAGTAAACCAGAACTTGGGTCCACTTATTGTTCCCTTACGGTTCTGGGTCTTCGGCCTAAGAGTGAAAGTTTAAACCGCTTGACAACCTCACCGCCCCCTTTCCTTGGAAGAGAAAGACGAGAGTTGTTGGACATCATCACTTCACGTCAGGCCTAATTTGGAAACAGATTTCTTCTTATATACATGTCACATACAAAAATAGGGTTTCGATAGTGTAACACAGACGTAGGCGCTGAGCGAAGGGAAGCCTGCTGCGGTCTGAGGTGTTCAGGAGATATTGACGACACAAAACACACTGTGCTTGAACTCTCGTTATTGTGGAAAAGATCACGGGAACCCGTAATCATGGGTAACAGTTGCGTAATGCGTCAAAAATAAATATACCATGCTGACAGAGGTTAAATGGGATCTTTGTCATTTTCCACAAGTCCAATGGACCATCCCTGAGTGTTAACGGCAAATGATCACGTCTAGTAGCGGATGGTAAAGTCTCAAATCGGCATTAATGTCATTCTATTACCAGTTTAACGTCAGGCTTTGACGGGCAAACCGATCCGATATTGGTTCCTTGAGTTTATTGGTAGTTGTACCGCCTGAACCATGTGGATATAGCATTGCAGGGACAGTCGGCGGTTGTTCAGCCACATCCTTCCTCACTGCTCCAGCTTCTGAATGTTGGTTGGTTTGTTGTTTATCGCCGCACCTAGCAATATCCCAGCTGTATGGCGACGGTCTGTAAATAATCGATGAGGGTAACCACAGCTTCCCAACACCCTTACTACCCAACATCATCCCTCCCCAACACCCGTCCCCTCGACACCTCCTCTCCCCAACATCTCCGCTCCCCAACACCCCCGCTCCTGGACACCTCGTCTCCCCAACATCCCCGTTCCTCAACACCCCCGCTTCTCGACACCACCTCTTCCCAACACCCATTCTCCTCGACACCTCCTCTCCCCAACATCCCTCTCCTCGACACCTCGTCTCCCCAACATCCCTGCTCCCCAACACCCCGCTCCTCGACACCACCTCTTCCCAACACCCCTCTTCCCAACACTCATTTTCCTCGACACCTCCTCTCCCCAACACCCCCTCACCAACACCCCCTCTCCTCGACACCCACCTCTCCCCAACACCCTCTCCCCCGACACTCTCTCCCCACATCCCATCTCCCTGACATCCCTTCTCCCCACCCCCTCTTCCTAACACCCTTCTCCCCACCTCCTCTCCCCCGACACCTCACTCCCCGAAACCCCCTCTCCCCACACATCCTCTCCCAACACCCCCTCTCCCCGACACCTCTCTCCCTGACTGCCCCATTCCCCACACCGCCTCTCCCAACACCCCCTTTCCCCGACACCCTCTCCCTGACTGCCCCCATTCCCCACACCGCCTCTCCTAACACCCCTTTCCCCGACACCTCCCTCCCCGACACCCCTCTCCCCACACCCCCTCTCCCCCCGACACCTCCCCTTCCCCGACACCCCCTCTCCCCACACTGTCTCTCCCCACATCGCCTCTCCCCACATTTCCGCTCCCTAGCACCCCCTCTCCCCATCACATCACCCTCTCTCCAACATTCCCGCTCCCCTGCTTTCCTACATCCACGCTCTCAAAATCTTCTCTTGATGCCGATATATCTGCAATGATACAAGATTTCTTATCAATGAGTACACATTTTCGCCAATCATGCTTCAGGCAAGTATGGATTTAATTCAACAAATATTCCATATACACAACTGGAGGAGATTTTGTTACCACATTATCCATCAATGAGTATTTACTGCCTCTCAACACCAGATGGAGTGCCATATGCAAAGATGAAGAGTTTTAAGTGTCCTATCTTTAGCAGACACACAGTGTTGAAAGTGCGTTGCCTGTTCCTGTGCCCGGCGGTAGAAAACCAAGTAGATATGCACCTTTGTTGGAACGCTTGGGGAGATAATAGGGGCAGTGTGTGGACAGGATGGGCAACTTCTAATATCCAAGCAGCAGTTATTTATTGCCAAAACCGTCATGTGTTTGTCATCATGTCTACGATAAAAGTAAGATCTTTCACAAGTAGGGTAATTTTTATCCCGTGACTGTCTGCTTTATTAGCGAGGTGTCCGGTTAGGCCATAAGAAATGTATTTTAGGTGGTGCTAAGCTGCATAATTTTCCAACTTTATGAATCTCTCGCTTGCTTTGGTCCGGTTTATGGCAGCGTCCACACGATATAAGTACTTCTAAATCACATTCTAGTACTTTCTGAGTAGTAAACAGTGGCAACAGATTGAGTTAATGAGATACTAAGGAATACGATGTGTTTAGCCTATTAAATGATCAGGTTCACGATATCGGCGCTAGCACTGTAGGTTCCCTTTGTCGTTGTTACAGTATGGTGACGGAGTGCTATAAGTTCTTCATAAAACTCGGGCCTGAAGTCATGTGCACTCATTAAACTCCAGACATACCGAATACCCCAGCTCTAGTCTGGTTATGTCAATATTGTAGCATATTCTAACTGTCAGGGACACATTACTGTTACTGTATTATATACAGGGTTTATAGAACTAATTGTTGGCGATATAGTCGTCGTTATCTAAATATCTTAAACGGATTAGAATCAGCTGTTTACCTATTGCTAACTTGCGTACGTGTGCAGGTCGTCTGAGGCCCCACAATTCATCGTTTACCACTCAATCTGGTTTTTATATTGAGCTGCTGACCAGAGTTGTGTACGTAGGGCGCCAGAGACAGATCCTAGTATCAAATCGCGGTTGAAATATAGTGAACATTCAAAGTAGTACTGTCTTCACTAAATCAGATCGTGACAATGCTTTCTAACTGTACAAAAACGACATGGTATCGAATTTAGCAACTTCAGACTAAACAATATGTCTGTTATACAAAACAGTACATTTAATTACGTATTTGAATGTTGGACCAAGAAATACTGTATTGTTTTCGATAGAAAAGCGTTTAGATACTGACAAGTTAGTTTCGATTATTTTAGCGCAAGCAAATTGAAAGTGTTTGATTTTTATAGCACCTTTTAACGTCTTAAATAAACACAGAAGGAATATTTCAGCCATCTCTGCGAATACGCAATGTCCAGTAACCTTCCAGATATTGGTCACTCGCTGTCAAACGTGATGAGTGGACATGGAGAGACTAGCTGCATGTCCAGCAGATGACATGCCGACAGTCATGGCCTCGACCTTATTCAATAGTCCAGTCAGAAGTCTTGCTTTGTCAAGTTCATGGTCGCTGAATTAAATGCCTGTCACTCAACAGCAGTCACCCATATTATTCATGTTATCAAAGGTGGCTGAGGGCGAATTCGGCAAGTACTTCGGCGAGAGATCCAAATTGCTTCAATTAGTCCACGACGCCATTGTCAGTCAATATGATGGATGGCAATGCCTGTATTCAATGTTATACCAACTGGGCTCATTTTATTATCCAGCTACATAAAAGCAATACATCACATCCGTAGAAAATATTCACAAAGTTTGTAAACTTTTGAAACTTTATGCTTTGCGTCAATGTTAAATTACATGTGTGGATTTTGTCATTCAAACAAAACCAGTATGACTGACTGAATGACTGACTGAATGACTGAAATGACTGAATCACTGAATCACTGAATGAATGGAAGAATAGAAAGAATGAATGAATGAATGAATGAAAGAATGTAATGTAATGAATGAATGAATGAATGAAAGAATGTAATGTAATGAAATGAATGAATGAAAGAATGAAAGAATGAATGGAATGAATGAAAGAATGAATGAATGAACGCTTTTCTTCAAAATAATTCGTCACAAATATGTATAGATGCAACACACTGAAGATTCCAAACTGAACTGAAGATTCGGGAATGACTGTTAAGCTCCATTGTAGTCACCAGGTGACGAGTAATGGCAGGATGGATATATCTTTCCCTCCACAAGTCATACGTGTAGCTCAATTAAAGCAACCTATTACAGTCTGAACCAAACAAACCTGTGATTTTGTGAGCAGAGGAGCCAAACCATCGGAGTAACCCAAATTCCCACGCAATTCATGAAGTCAGACTTGCCGGAGCCGTTCTGTTCTCGTGGTCGTTAATACATTGGGTTTTCTAAGGTGCTGTTTGGTGCTCCTCATGTCCCTTAACAGAACAGAGCAAACATTTTTCCAGTTAAGAATACATAGGATGGCGGGAGTGCAGAGCACCGCCGTCAGAATAATCTCAAAAGTCTATAGACTAAAACGGAACCATATAACACTAATTCATTGCCAAAAAACGGTTTAACACTCAATTCTAAGGGATCTACTTACAAACATTTTCCCAGTCTCTCAGAGAATCACATTCAAGGTCCTTTGCCTAATCTACATGTGCCTCAACAATCAAGCTCCTTCCTATCTCTCGGACGTACTCAACCACTGTGCCCCTAGCCGTTCCCTGCGCTCTGAATCAAAGCGACTCCTCAGTGTGCCTATAGTCAGAACAACAACTTATGGTCAACCTTCATTTGCCTTTTGCCGCCGCCTCGTGTTGGAACTCTCTTCCTCAGATGATCCGTCTCTCAGGAACGCTATCAAGTTTCAAAACAAGCCTGAAAACCCATCTGTTCAGACAAGCTTTCTCCCCTGAATCTTCTTTCAACTGTCGCTCTGAGCATGCATTGAGCATGGAACTAGCGCTATACAAATGGACTGTTATGTTATGTTATGTTTTAATGGTTTGGGATATAATGTTTTCCGATGACGTTTGGAAAGAGGACAGAGAAAAATGTAATGAAATTCATCGCAAACATCGCACATGTCGCCGAGGTTACATATTACACTGTGTACATGATATGTGAACAGAACCTGACACTTTTCACATAACGTAACACACGGGACACGAAACATTTCACAATGCACGCAGAGTACGACACAACGTGCACCCAACATGCGTGCAACGTTGCGATATCATTCCATCTCAGTATGCGTGGTCGTTGCCAATAAGCTGTTGTAGATGCTGTGATTGCATAACTGTGAACATGAAATATTTCCTACATGCTTCTAGAACAAATTAGAAGAACATAAGCTGACGTGCGACCGAGACAAGTGTCCTTTGATGTGTTCGTGTCAGTAGGAATATAAGGGATATATCGGTGAGTAATATCCATATAACTGGATGCAGCCGCAACCTTGTCTGAGCATGTGCAGTAAGCAGGTCCGTTACAGCATTTTGATGACCATTATAATCATATGATACTCGTAATCCACACAATATCCACTGGTATAACAACTGAAATGTTTAGAGTACTGGGACAATTCGCATATCGAAGTCTCAACAAGAATTACAAATACATCACCAAACAAACACAACTCCCTAAAGTAGTCTTTAACTCAATAACACATGCACCAATATCACGAAGAAATATCTTTTAGTTATTAACAACGTCTACGTTCTTTAAAAGTATAATCTGTTTTCGCTTCTCAGCAGGATAACGTTGATTCATGGATGTAAATTTTTCGATGTGGAGGAAGCCAAATTAAATTCCAAAACATGTATCCTACAACGGCAATGTGTCTGTATTATGGAGAATCCTCTTGTGTACTGAGGTGTTGCACATGAGTGGCTTGGTGTTGGCAGCATGTTATGAAGCGGCCTATCTGTCAAGTGTCCAAAAGTTATTCACACACATGGTGGGCAGCTGTATTTATATGGGGGAATAAATGTAATATCAATGTAAAATATATTTTGGTTATGTGACATGTCTACTAGTTCACCATTTCATTGTACGACGTTCATCGAACTGACAGAAGTGAACAGTTCCAGTGTTATGCTTACAAGTGTTTCAGGGTAACTTGTGTTTAATCAATATATGAACTTTTGTTTGTCCATGTCGTGTCATACCTGAAATAGTTCGAACGGCATTAAACTCACTCACTCACTCACTTGTTCAAGCTGGTGAATCACTCATCTCCTGTATCACTGACAGGGACGACACTACATGCCTCATGCTGTACTGAAACTCTTACAAGGCTGGATTTGATAGTCTCATCATTCCAAAATTTAGGCCTTCTTCGTAGAGGGAATGCAGGATGTTACAAACGAGTGAGAAACATAGTCCACCATACAGAAAAGCATACCCGTGCAGGGATTACAAGAGATTTGAGGGTAAGTCTGGTCCTGATTGTAGATATGTGAGGTAAAACCAGGGTGTTCTTACAACCACATACGTTTAGACTTGAAGCCGAACATTCGCTGAAATATGATTTAAGGTATTGATACTCAAGAGACATTGTCTCCAAATGTAGATGCTCAACGATGTTTTAGGCATGCGTGTGGCTTGATGTAGTTCAGGGCCCTAATGACTTTGAACTGATTAAAACCTGCTGTTCATGACGCCTTCTGTCCGCTGTGTTCACTAGTCTTTAAGTGGAACTACATTCAGTGTGTTATTGGAAGCTGCTTGCAAAAACAAAGATTCAGGTAACGTTTTGCAAGTGGAAAAGCTGGAATAATTCATTCTACGTGAGGTATCTCACAACGACGATATCCAATAAAATTTCACTGAAGTAGTTTAGGCAGTTTTTACACTAATTTAAAACTTGTGGGGTTCAACCGAGCATGCTCTTTCTCCGAAGATTCCAAAAAGCGTCATACGAACGTTGCTCAAATGACC